TTTTTTAAGGATGTGGTACTTAAAATCTTGTTCCTTAATTTTCAGCACCCTCTTTTCTTCAGAGACCCCTTTATGTCCCTCTTGAAATTAAGAACTTTTGGTTACACTTCCCCTCATGGTGCAGGTTGTTCGAATCCCAAAAATATTGGATGGATTAACAATATCTGTAACTCACGTCGTGTGGTTTCTGTGTTCCCTTTCTTATTTTGAGGCAAGAGGTTTCTTGTTTGTGCAAAACAATGTGGAAGAAAAAATAGCTTTCTTGATTTTTCTTGTGCTTAACGCTCTGCGCGCCGAGCTCTTTACAAAACATTCCCATATTGTTGACAGTTTATAAAGCAAGGAAGTTGATTCAACAGAGTAAATATTGCGCATTTGCAAATTGGGCAAACCTAAAAGCGGAGCTTTAATTAAAATTCATAAGAAGGAGATATTATTTAAGGCACATTATAAAAAAGAGAGGGTCGTGCAAATAATAATCTATAATCATGTATAAAGATTATTCCTACATGCACTTTTAACATACTCTCCCGTTGTACTATAGAAATTTGTAAACGAGGCTTGCAAAGAGCAACCACTCCTTAACAAGTGCTGTAATCAGAATTTATGTGCTCATGGTGGCACCTGCACTGAGTTATGTGAAGACGCTAAAATCAAGTTCAACTGTACATGCGCAGTGGGATATTACGGCAGACTTTGTCAGAAACGAAGAGCAACATCTTGCAAAGAGCAACTACGGGAAAACGAAGGCAGCAAGTCCGGAGTGTATCAACTGTTTGACCCAACGACTATGTCCATGTACGAGGTCTTTTGTGATGCTATCTCTGAAAAAGGGTTCATTTGGACTTTGATCGAATCTTTCAGCCTTCGTAACAATCATGAATTTAAGGACAAAGCATTTTACAAAGACTATCCAAAAAATCAGGAAGCTTTTACATGGGGCAAGTTTCGTCTATCTTTGCCACGTATGACAGCCACAGCAAACCGTTCAACGCACTTGCGAGCAACGTGCAACTTTAACACTGAAGACCTTAAATACAGAGATTACTTAAGGGCCAAGTTGAATGATATCGACGTTATGCGCTTTAATGGCCGTGGTGCATGTAAAAAATACGAATTTATTAGCATCCGAGGATATAACTGTAGCAACTGCACGGCTCAGTTCGTCCAAACAGATAATTGGCATGCGCATACTGATTCGTTTTACGGTCCAACGATCGGGTGTCAGTTTACCAGCCAATCCACAGGTGCAGTGAGGTTACCGGGAGGGGAGGATAACTTCGGATGGTATGAAACAGTCAATCCGGTTCACAGATGTGTATCGAGTAATGATTCCACCACTCAGTGGTGGTTTGGAGTTCGGCATCACTAGGCTCTCTAGCCTAGAGATGGATTTCCACTTACGCGGTTTTGGCTACGCACGTTAACGAAAGAGAATTTCAATCGCGTAAATAAAATAGAGGCAAGATAAAAAGTGCTGAGTTTAAACGAAAAGTTGAGCGAGGTTCAACTTTAACGCTTACGTGCGACCTTTCATGCATTGTCTTTATTTTATTTGCGAACGTAAATTTTACGCACGTACGCACGTAAACATTACGCGACACTGGAAATCAACCCTTAGGGTTAGGGTTAGGCAAATAAAGGTCGCACGTAAGCGTGAAAATAGAACCTCCCGGAACTTAACGTGTAATCTCAACACTTTATATCTTGCCTCTACTTTATTTACGTGATTAAAATTTACGCGCGTTAACGTGCGTAGCCAAACATGCGTCAGCGGAAATCAACCTCAAGGGTGGATTTCTACTGTCGCGTAATTTTTCCGTGCGTACGGACGTGAATTTTACGCGCGTAAATAAAATGGAGACCATGTACGGAAGGTCACGCGTATACGTAAAAGTTGAACCTCGCTCACCTTTTACGCCTACGCGTGCCCTTTCATATATTGCCTCTATTTCATTTACGCGTCTTCGCAGGGAAAAATTGCGCGACAGTGGGTATCAACCCTATTAAAGTCAGTCATTCTTTGAAAACAATTTATAATATTTTATTAATCTAATATCATTATCTTAAATGTGAACTTGCATGCGTATGGATGCTTTATTGTCAGAACGGTAAGAGAGTAACAGTTTCCAAATGCAGCAGGTGGCCCCTGCATTGCACCTACCGGACATGCACACTGTGCATGATTCCATGCTGGCATTTTCTGAGCTCGTGCCTTGCAGTGCAGCTCCAGAAGCCTTGGTATTTAACATAAATCCTCGCTTACTGATCCTTATTAGACGAGTTTCGTTGCTGCCACTCGTGTACTTACCACATTGGGCTTATTTCAATCTGCATATTCAATTGTAAATCTCTGATGAAATGGTTTAACAATAAATTGGCGTCTTTCGGTAGATTTGCTTAAAATCTCTAGCACCAGGTGTATCATTATATTGGTTAATTTTCTGCCGTTTTGGGTTTTGGCACGTACATTTTCGTTTAGCGTGAATTAAAATCAACGTGATTGACGTTTCGTCAGAGAGAAACAGAAATTATAACGCGTATCGTAAATCTATGTCAAGGCGCGTTTAAATTATGGGTGGATGCGCTTAAGTTGTTACCCTCTTAACTTCATCATCCTCATTTTGGAAAAATTTTGTAAATAGCTAATCCTATCTGATGCATTATAATGATTTTGTAATCAATTTTTCGTACATAACTGTTATTTCCTCCGACCTTTTTTGTTTTGATAATTTGTCTTGTAACCGAAAAGCCCTTTGAGGGAGTTACAATAAAGTATGTAAGTATGTAGGTATGCTTATTGCTTGCTGCATTCGGTAAGCAGCAAAGCATTTTTTTAAATGATATACAATAAAATTCTGTGTGCGCCTGCTTTTTCTTTCATGGTGCACGAAATATCCCAAATTTTGGGCCCGTGGACCATTCAGTTGAAAGCTAGTGAATGATAAAAATAGATGTATGTAAATATAAATGGAGCCGAGGCAAACCAACGTAGGATAAACAACAGACGTTTTTAAAAGAAGGTTTTACATAATTTGTGTTTTAACTATTAATAACACGACGTTGACCTCAGTTAAAACAAGAGTCTACAGGACGGAACTTTCTGTAGGGGTGCAGCTGCTTTGTAGACACTAGCTGTAAAGATGAAAGCTCACACCTCAGCTTCTAGTTTGTCAACTGATATCTACGCAACATTAGAGACCTTAAGATACACCGTTTCCGTGTATGGGTACGGGTAAATTACTCGTACGCGTAGCCCTAAATACGGGTAGATGGCCTCTTACCCTAGAGAAACTGCTAGACTACCGGTTGGAAAGGTGATGCCATTATCACAACTGCGAAATCATGAGTATCGTCTTTTGCATAACCACGTGTAAACATGTTCGTCTACACGTAACCGTAGTATAGGCAAAACGGTGTATCTTAAGTAGTTCCTATTACATACCTTCCAACCTTTCTTAGATTTCTGCGACAAATGCGCATGATTTCCGAAAAGATAAAGACCACAACGCGCCCGAGAAATAGCCACACACAAGCGGTCCATTGATGCTAGGTATCCAATAACACCTTCTTTGTTGCTTCGAACCAGCGAAACAAGGATTATATCATTTTCTTGACCCTGTGATTGAAAAAGAAATATTCATACACAGTGAATCCTGACATGGTGGAGTAGCCTGCGTGTAGACATCTCCTGTGGAGAGGAGAAGTCTGACGTCACGTTACCATGGTAGCAAAATTTCTGGATCGCCACAACCGGGAGCTTAAGCAACGATGCTGGCGACGGCAGAGTAAACTAGAAAAAAATAATAGGTTTAGATCAGCAAAACAACAACTGCGCACGTGCATCGCGCTTTTTGGTACGTTTCTTAGCCGTCGTTGCTCGACTAAGTTCACGCACCCGCTTTACGAAGTAGGAGAGCACAACGCAAAAATTCTCTTTTTCTAAATTCGGTCCTTCCGGATTTAAACCCAGAAAATTTCGCCATCATTTGACAAATTAAATGAAATTGAATAACATCGTCGAAGTTTGAAACTGTGCGAATTCACTTTTTAAGTGATGTTTTCGGTTTGTTGTTGTCCAGAAATTTTGCTACCATGGCAACGTGACGTAACGACTTCTCCTCTCTATTTCCTTTATTACTCGAAGAAAAGGGATTAAGCTTAGTGGCATGCCTTAAATGATCTGGTAGACGCCCTCTCTCAAATAAACTTCTGTTCGAAGGCCGAATGGGCTATTGACTGAGAGGCCATTAGGGCGAGAGGAAAAATTGTTTTAGTGAAATCCAACTAGTTGGTCAAAAATATCGAGTCAAAACAAGTTAAGCTGACGTAGTTAAAGCTAGACTTTAATCCTTTTTTGTCCCCCAAAAGCTGGCGCTTTTCGCCAGTATTGGGCTATAACATATAGCCTAACAGTAGCTCAACCAATCAGAACGCAGCATTGATAATACACCACAAGTTGGATTTTACTAATATCTAATAAACGCCCCCGCTACTAGCAATGTTAACTTTGTATCGGACGCCCCTCTCTAATAAACGTCCCCTCTAATAAACGCCCCCATGCACCCCCTCCCCCCATGAGAATTACTGCAAAATACTAAGAATTACCGGTAGCAAAAAAAGGAACAAACTCATTTATTCAGTTTCTTGCCTGATGAACAAGGGTTATTTCATCGTTTCTTGCTCATAAGGACAGACTGACATTGACAACAAAATGATCCTAAGCGAGGATTCGGATCTGTCGACGATGTTGAGATTTGAAAGAGTGATAGGGATCTATAGACGGCCTAGATGTATCCATTGATGGCCTAGCTATTCCACTATTTTTAAACTTTCTTGATTTTTTCGAGAATAGCATATACGTTTTGCTGAGATGGTCGCAGTTCGGAGAATAAAAGCCTCCTACCAATTAAACGTTTTCTTTTGGACCATCAGAATTAAATAACGCCCCGGGCGTCTATTAGATCATTTACAGCAGATGAACTGTTTGCAGGAGACTGTCGAGCGAATCGACGTTCGTCGTCGCTCTTGTGTTTAAGGACGCTACACAGAAGGCGTGGGGTAAAGATGACCCTCATCACGATATGAGTCAAGAAGAGAAAGTGTGGTTAACCTTGGTATTTTTCCAGTTTATCGTTTCTGTAGTTGTTCTAGTACTTAAGAAGACAATGCTCTTCAAATCCCTCTAAAGATGGACCGTAATGTAATTCCAAGCATTCCTTTTGAATTTTATGCATTGATTTCTAGTTTTCTTTTCTTTTCCATGAGCGGGAAGATCTAAACCCCAGTCAATGTTGATTTTATCCAATGAAATACCTGAATTAGATTATTTTCAGTGCTTTTGAGACACTGCCATATAATAATGCTCTATAAGGTGCTAGGTGGGTTAAAAGCCGAAAAAAGGAACTATTTTCGATCCATGAATTTATCGGCGTTCCCTGGGGCCCATCATCATCACCGGTCCTTGACAGTTCAAACTCATTCACAATTTATCAAGAAAATACAGAAGACACCAATCTTTCTTCTTCGTGAGTGTCTTAAATCTAACAAATGCTGAGTTTTTAGCTCTTATTTTCTCTGAAAAAATAGCCAAGATTCATACACACGGACAGAGCATTTCGGTGCACTTTCGGAGCATTTCGGAGGCTGGAAAGACGTTCGCGTTATCCCACCTGAAAACTATCAATTGTGGTGACCTTTATATCTTCCAACGCAGTAATCTCAGTTGAACGAAAGTGGCTTTCTATTTCTTTCACCTGCGAGAAAGGAAAGATATAAAGAGAAAAATTACCAAGGCTTCCAGGAAACACGGGTCAAATAAGAGAATAAAATTAGAACAATCTTTGATCCGCCAGTCGAGACGGCTTTGAGAGACGTGTTTGTTGTTGTTGTTTTTGTTGTTATCGGCATAGATTACATTTCCCGTGCGTCTGTTCAGTCTTATACAATGTGACGAATATTACGCGCGCGCTTTGATTGGTTGTTGCCCATGGCCTATTAGAGTACATGCAGACACATGGATGAGATCAAAAAGAAACTTGTTTTCTTTACTTTACCATGCTTTGACGTCATCTGTGATCTGTTACTGAACAAAAGCACGGCAAAATGGAACCTTTTACACTTGCCTGTCCTCGATATGAACAAAGAACAGTGATCTTTGCGGGATGTACCTCGCCCTCTTGGCAGAAGAATTTCGCAACTCTAGTTATTTCTTCAGCCTCTCGAGAATTTCGCTTGCTATGCGAAGCTTCACCTTCCCACTTGGTGTGTGTCCAGAAGTACATGCTAGACTCGACACAAGCTGGGCGTACGTTGTTTTCGACCAGCTGAATGATATAAAGAAATAAAGAAAAATTGGCAAGAGCCAATAAGCAATATTAATTACATCGTATTATTGACGAAAAGGCTTATGTTATCGTAGCAATACACAGTGCGCGCGCATCACATGTCTAGAACGTAGTAAATGGTACCCTGGCTCTAATATACCTAATATGAAATAAACCCTGCTTACGGTTTGAAAAGGCTCCCCTCGGCGCTTCACGCCTCGTTGACGCGGTTTCTCCTCGAACCATCAGTGTCAATAAGAAAAAAAATATCCTCTGGAACCCAGGGTAAGTAAACGGCTACAACCTCGCACAAATCTGTTAAACACAGTCCCATCTATTTTCTTACTTTGGCGCCATACTACAATCACCTCTGAACAGAAAAAAACCAAGACCCCTTCCAACTCTCTACTCAAAGTTGTTTTGGTCATAAAACCAACGTGTATAATTCTTGTGTTATCCTTGATAACATTAAAGAAAGGGGAGGGGGGAGGGGGAAGACAAGTTAACAATTAGTTCATGCGTCAGCGTGCGTATGTCGAGATATTGATCACGCGGAAAGTTGTGGAGCACGAAAGAGGCGTAAGAGTTGCTCGAGGCACAGCCGAGAGCAACTCCAGCCTTTTGACTGCTGTCCAAACTTCCCAACTGCTCAATATCTCGACATACGCACGCTGACGCATGAACCTAATTGTTTTATAATATTATCAAAGCGATCAATGCAGTGGTTAATTGAAAATTTTATTATTGTAGGACGCGCTAAAAGCAGTACGCGTCAATGTTTACGCGACTATATTTTTTTCCTCACAGTTAAGCTTATGTTTTTATCCTGAAACTGAGAGAAAGTGTACTCTAAAAAGATTGTAAAATCCATATTGGGGTGCTGGAAAACTATAAATTCACATAAAAATTATTTTTGAGAGAAACAACTTTGCAAAGAATGATCTTCACACGCACAGCTTGCGGAGATGACAATAACAACAACAACAACAACACTAACCTCCTTCCCTACTATCGACTAATAAATTCAAAAGTTTTCTCTTAAATTACCTTATAAAGCACATGGTAAACGCTTCATCGTTTACTGCTGAGATATGGATGCAATTGGGAGACGTCTTGGGAGGATTGCTACGCTCACAACAACTCGAGGAATAGTTTATTGACGTCATCAGCGTGCTCAAAGGGAATATGTAACACTTTCGCGCTATTGAATTTGATTAGGCGAATTTTCTAGCTATGTTATAACATTCGTTTGGCGACGGTTTCCCTTTTTGGCCAGGATAACAGGAAAACTAGGTATTTTTGCGATGTGTCTTAACAGGTTACATCCAATGTTGTAGCCCGCCATGAGTGTTAGGCTCGATTACCAGCCGCCCACCCAGGTGTCACGTTTGAGTTCGGGGAGGAGAGCGGGCTAATATTTGTGACCAAAGACACTTCATGAGTGTCTTTGTAGCTAACTAGCAAAGAATCTAATCCGTTCTGAGGGTTTCTTAAGTTAATTCGCCTCTTACGCACCACCGCCGAGACATGCTGAAAATTTCCTCCCTGTTTTTTTTATGCAGCCAAAGCTCTCTCAAAGATAAAAAAAAATTCCAGGGTTTTCATCGTCTCTCCAAAGAAGGAACGAGGAATGAGGCTAAATTTATTTTAGGCAAGGTTAAATTCGAGCCAATGCGGCCAGCGGATTTTCTCTCTCCAGCACGTACTCTGCGGGGTGCCCCTTTAGGTAGCAGGGCTTTTTACATACTGCCTTACTTTTGCTTTCGTTGCGGATCATTGTGAAACTATTCTGCGTTATTTTCTGCGAATCTTTCCGGTTAGGGCCCACAAAATGGCCGCAAGTCGGGAAAAGTGGCGCCTAGCATACATGTTTGCATATACGGACAAAGGATACCTGCAGTTAGCAATACCTGTTTATGCGTTTGAAGGTTGTCATATATCTTTAATTCACGGAGTAGATCAACAAATTCATCCCTCATTCGGCATTGGAAACCAAGCTGCTTACAAGGCAGACGACAATTCCACAGTCGTTCAAACATAGACAGATCCAAATGGTGATGTTTTTTGAGTCGGTGATAGTGTACCATAGGTTTCAGTTGCTTGTGATCTCCGATCATGATCAGGTGTTGAACTGTCGGCGGGATAACTGCGACCAGCTGCCCCTCTAGAATTTCCGCCGCTTCTTCCACAATCACGACAGAAGGTTTTATGTCAGCTAAAGAGAAATCAAGGGGGAAGGACAAGTTATGGCGGCTCCGAAACACTTGCAATAATTTTTGGTTTAAACTTTAAACTAAATTGTGTCGTAATGAAAATAAATGAAAATTTGATGAAGAAACACGAATGTCACCGAAACTGTTTTTAAGTCAAAACACGACCACAAGTTGTTCACCAATGAAGAGGTATTTGTTTCATACGATCAGTGAAATGTAACCGGCTTAAACGGATAAGAAAAACTTAATATGTAAAAAAAAAATAGTAGAAAATTCTTTTGCCAACTTTTATGAAAGGCTTTAGCGCACAGCAAGGAAAACAATGCGAATAGGGGATGCAAACTAACAAGATCAGTCTTCGCACTTTTTGTCACTTTGTGTTCTTGTTGAAACAAATAGACGCGCTAGTTCTGCCAACATAACTTGCCTCTAGCTTGGTTGCGAAAGGCTGCAAAATGAGACTGTAATCGGACACACAATATTAGATGTTTCTTTGCTGACAATAAATTACTAAGGTTTGAACAATAAATGCACTATGAGATATACTTTACCCAATAAGTTTGCCCTCATGGTCGCCCCTGTCACTGTCATGCCAATAACATGGCATCTCTTCATCACTTCAATATCTTGCTGATTTCGAACCTCCTTCAACTGATGATGTAGCTGTGAATGACATCAACGAAAGGTAACTAATTTCAGTGGTTATCTAAATACTTCCTTCCATTGTCACTCTCACAATTTCATTCAAATTCAGTCAACTTTAAGGGCATGTTCACATCACAACGTTGTTTTTGTGCTGACCTTAACATCGCCGTCGTAATTTTCTGAGGACCCTGGTGTAGTGGCTAGGTCAAACCGGATTATTAACAATTATTCCTCGCGTCCGAATGGGCTCTGAGTCAATGACGCCGAAGGCCTCATGGGCTATTGACTAAGAGGCCATGAGAGCGAGAGGAATAATTGTTTTAGTAAAATCTAACTAGCTGGTCAAAAATATCGAGAATAAAAAAATTTTAGCTAGTTAACGCTAGACTTCAATACTTTTTTGCCGCCAAAAAACCGGCGCTTTTCGCTACTAGTGGGCTATAACATAAAGCCTAGTAGTAGCTCAACCAATCAGAACGCAGCATTCATAATAGACCACTAGTTGAATTTTACTAATAATGTATACATACATTCGCACATTAGTCTGGACGGAGTCTAAGACCCCCTACCTGTAAATAAGCTCTGCTCACATTCTTGAACTCAGAACTGGCTTTAGAAAAGTACTTGCTTTGAAGAACGTAAACAAATTGTACTCTTCTGTGTTCTTCAAGTTCCCAAATTTTGCTTTCATTCAAAATATCTTCATAAGGCCTCAGCTCTGAAAAAAGAGAAATGTCTAAGAATCAGAAAGAAAATCGTTTTATATGCGAATCTCATGTGTACTTCGTGTTGTTCAATAAACAAGCAGTTTGTGTTCCTATCGGTATTTGACGTCACAGTGAACCCGCCTTTAAGGCTAGATAGGTTCATAATCGGGGATTACAGCCGGGGGAGCTTAATATGCGGGATTTCACGCTTTTCTTTGTGACATCACTCAGCTCCCACCTACTCCAGTGCAAAGAGGTTCTCTCTACATTATGAATATCTTTAGCGAAAAAGGGCTATGGAGCGTTTTCACATGACGTCACGTCCGCCATCTTGGTGTTCCAAAAACAATGAAACGGCGGCCATGTTGGTGTTCGAAACCAATCCCGTGGGAGGTGAGCCTTTTTCTTATGCAAAAAATTTCTTATCTTCCAGAAAAAATTGAATAGCTGCTCGACACGTAAATGAAACCGCTCTATTTGCTGGTATTTCATTAGACTACGAGTAGCCAAAGAAACCAGCACTCAAACATAACATGAGAATACTTTACCAGCGTCATCTAAGCAAACGAGGCTGCGCAAGCACTGCACAGAAAGAGGGACTTGAGATTTAGACGAACTTTCTTCCTCTTTCGTGATGCTTTGATCCTCTTCATCAGCGATTTCTTCATCTAATGCAAGAAGTCGCTCCTTCTGCTCTACAGAAGGGTCTCTCGCGTCATTGGGATTCTCCTGCTGGTCTGTTTCTTCTTTTCTCTTTTGTTGACCACTTTCCGCCGGTCTAAAATTGACGAAAAAAGACTGAGTTTCCCAGAAACTGCCCACCTACCCCTGCCCTAAGCCAACATTAACACTTACTCCTTGTTTAGGGCAAAATGTTGGCTTAGGGAAGGGATGGGTGAGCAGTTTCCCAGAAACTGGGAATCCAAAATCCAAAAAGAACACCTTTGCAAAGCTGCAAATCATTTTTGCGTCTTTACCCATGCACAAAATGCTGTTGTTAAGTTATAAAGACGATATTAGAAAAACACTTCATCAGGGAGCACTAACCATAATTAACATAGTTTGGGTGATTTTTGCGGGCATTTCATGACTCGAAGAAAACTCAAGATTCGAAAAAAAAAAAAAAAAACCGGACCCCATGGTTTCAAGTTTCAATCTATGTCCATCATGGCAAAAGACGACAGGAAACTATTTCAATGCCTAAATGCAGTCCTACATAACAAACCTGGACCACTATTATTGGGATTCAGTTAACGCGAAGACACGTTTTGCTTTTTTGATCTATTTTAAAATTGATGACAAGAAGGGTGACAGCCCCTTTAAGTCCTACTTAAGACCCGTTCACACAAGCGATTTTAAAGGCAATTTTATTACGATTTTCCGTTCTTTCAGACAGTATACATGGGATGAAAACACCTGCCGCTTTCGCATTCACTTTTATATCCCCCCGCAGAAAATCACAGGCAGACCAAAAGACTACACATATCAATAATCCACACCAATGGTTAAAAACTTACCGATTTCCTTGCGCTACTTTTTTCTTTTCACCAGAAAATCGATCGAACAACTTTTGACTAGGGAGCCAGTCTATCAATGCATTTTCCACGAGTTCTGCCGTACAAAAAAATGTATATGTGCAACATAACTTTCTAAAGAACAAGATTTTAGTATCATCGCGGAGAATGCAGGGAAATCATTAACTGTAAATTATCAGCGAAGCGACAAATTTGAATGCGAGTAGACGTTGAAAAGCTCAAACTAAGAAAAGAAAGGGCTCAAATTGGTCAAGTAGCGCTGATGAAACGTCTTTCTTCATTTCCAAAAGCCACATCCTAAATACCTACGCGCGGCTTTTTTTAACAATGACAATCACTCCCTATTATCGTAAACGACCTTTTTCGAAATCAAAAAAGGTTAAGAGAGAATATATTAGCGGTAATCACCTTCAAACTCAAATTAACGATATACTGTGCAAGTAGCCGACTAAATCGGTGCGCCACATACTAATACCAGTAAATTTTTCGGCGAGGGGGCTTAGGCGGCTCAGAGCTACAAGGTTAATTCATAATAGTTTTTAAAGAATTTTAGGCAGGCTGAGATTGCTCTAAATGTTTACTTAGTGGGAAAGTGGCACCAACATTGGTTGTGAAACACTTTAAAACGTCGCTTGATCCACGCAGCAATTTTATGTGGAAAGACCCAAAGTTAAAAGATGAAATATACACATGTCACCATACATGTCAAAGTTTCATTATAGCTTGATACCTTTTATATCATGCTTTTTATGCCATTCATTTCATGTCTGCCTTTCACAATTCTTCATTCAAACTGCAGTATATCGCAAACTTTATGGGCTTTCTTGAACTAAATTTGGCAAATGACGTAACACTGTTCTAAAAAAGCAAGAACGATATCCTAACCTTAAATGAAGTGTTCCTCGTAACAGTTAGAATGACAGGCCATTCTCGAGTTCAAAAAAACTCTCACTTTTAAAACGAAGCTTAGTGCAAAACCTTACTTGTGAAAATTAGTTTAATTTGAATGAGAATAAGATTCATTTTCATGTCAATGGCTTCGCACTTGGCCTCGCTTTAAAACAGAGGCTTAAGGCAGCTCGCAATTGGCGCATTGAATGGACGTCTTAACCTTGTACCAAAGGCATCGGTTCCCTTGCTCTTCAGAAAAAGAAAAATCAAAGGCAAAAGCTTTTCACGCCTACCTTTCAGTTTTGCTTGATTTTTAGAAATGGACTGTTTGCTAATTAATTTCTCCAATTCTTCGTCTGCGATTTTCCCTTGTTTGCTGCCAACCACAAGGGACTTCAGCTGCTCTTCTGACGCTTCCTTTAGAATAAAAATTGATTGAATGTTCTTATCTTCCAGAACAAGGTATGTGTTACATATAACACAATATAAGTGTTCTTATAGACTGACAAAAAATAACCAACAACATGTGAAATATTTTTTGCAGGCATATTATATAAACGGTTATCTCTTTGAACGCCGACAGCTCTCTATAAAGAAAATCCCTCCGTAAGATTCACCCGCCACTTAAAAACCCTTCCTCTACAAAACAGCTGTTAAAGGAAGATCAACGAATTCTTGGATAACGTAAGGTAAAAACTCAGACACTCCTCTGAGACTTTTACTAGGTGAGCGTGATTCAAACTCTAACCTTTGCGGTGACCTGACGCAATGCTCTATCCAAATGAAATAATAACGCTAACTGGCCAAGCACATCAATTGTAAGCTAGAAATATAGCCGATGGTAGAGTTGAACACAAAAGGGTGAATAAATCACTAGTTTGCGAAAACAGCCGTTTCTCCTGGTTCTTCGCCGTTGGGGACGTTTCGCTCGGAGGAACGTCCAAATGGGTTCCAAAAGCAAATTTGTTCAATTTTACGTTTCTTCTGGTCGATTTTGGTAAAGTGTTGTGTTGAGCTCCAGCAAAACTCAAATGCTTCTTCTAGAGAAGAATATATTCCACAAATATTGACTGTTTTGTTAAAGATTCATCGCCTTTACATTTGACCTTGTGGCCTTTTATCTTTTTTCTGTCATTCGTAGACAATAGCTAAAACAATGTAACTACTCCGTCGACCAATCAGCGCTTCTGACCGGATTCCAGACAGATTTTACGTCATCAGTATGGAATTTCTGTCTCTGAGTCGCAGACGTTCCTCCCCGCGAAACGTCCCCAGCAGCGAAGAGCGAGGGAAACGGCTGTTTTCGCAGGCTAATAGATCACATGTATAAGAGCTACTTTAGCGTTCCTTTTCCCTAAACTGCCTTAGCAGAGCACGACAAAAGTGCTGTCGGATAAAGAATAAAGAGTGCCTCGTCATACTAGCATGTTTTAATTGTAAGTTGTCCGTTAGTGAAAGGCTTGAAAGGCCTGAATGACTTCCCTGGGCTAGTAAACTTCAACAACAGCTTGCCTGAAGGGCATCCATCTCACCCTGTTGTAGTCTCGTGACTTCTTACCTTTAAGAACATGTCTGCACTGAAGCGGCTGGAAGTTCTGAGTTTCTCAAACGCCTCCCTGACTTTAGGTTGCAATGCCCATATTTGTCCAAGTACCTTTCTCTTTTGGTTGTAAAGCACTGGTTTGCGATTCACATCTTGGTATACCCTCTTGCGTGCGACATGAAAACAAAAAAGTAGGAGTTAAAGAATGCTACCCTGTTTTGTGTGTCAAGCCTTTCTAGAAGTACAAGGTCGTCTTCTGTCCATCTCGTTTTATAGAATGTAACTAAGCAGCCATAATAGGCCATTTTACAGTTATGGATGGAAGCGAGGGTGAGGGTGACCTTGTTTTGATACAAACCTTCTTTGCTTTGTTATGGAAATTGTTCTTGAAAAATACTAGTGAGCATAAGAATAACTTGATTTACATAATAAAGCAGGAAGGTTTGTATCAAAACAAGCTCACCCTCAGCCCCGCTTCCATCCATAACTGTAAAATGGCCCATTCTAGTCTCACTTTAGTTATCACGCAAGAACGCTTTCAGTTATTCAAAGTCTAGTAAAACCTTTCCGTGCCTAAAAGTTCACAACATGCAGAGTTCAACACCTTAGAAGTGTAACGTGTACCCAGGTTGTCTCTCATCCGTTTTTTCATCTATACGGGAGCCTTGACTTCTTTTACATTTTAAATAAGATACATCAGGGATGATCCAAAAAAAAAAACCTAGTTTGAACAAACCTCTCTCAACAAACACTTCTTCAGTTCGTCTCCAGCCTCTTCACTCCACCTTCCAACACGCACAATCTTCAGATCAGGCGAAGAAACTTTCCTCAGACACTCTTTCAAAAAGTTGTCTAAAGCATGATTCTTATAAGTCACAACCTATAATTAAGCAAACAGAAATAGCCTTAGCAATTAAATAAAATATTTCATACTGGCAGCAAAAAGGAGACGAAGTGGATGGAAAACGTAAACTAGGGTTTCACCAAACCACAAATACCTGAAACACCGAATAAATCTCCAACGCACTCTTAATCAAGATAAGCGAAGCATGAGTAAAAGTCCAAATACTCAATTTGAGCGTATAATTTGTCGCACATTTAAATGTTATGCTCTTTCCAAGCTCAAATATATGTTATTCCATTTTTTTATTTCGCTTTCAATTCAAATAGACGACTTTGACAAACAAACTTCTCAATGCGAGCGATTGGCCGTCATGCTCAGTGCGGGAAATAACGTTATTGCGGGTGACAAGAGGAGCCTGAAATCCTAATCTCGAGGTTGTTATTACGCATGCGTCGCATGTATGTAGCCAGCATTCGTTTGGACTTCCACTAAGAATGAATGGAATGCAGAGAACGCAATTTGATCACTCGCGTTTGGACCCTCTATCACTCGTGATCTGATCACGCATGTTTTGATCATCTGTCACGTGAAACTTGGGCAAAGTACAGCGATGGAGGAAAAGCGTTTTGACTTTCGATCGTTGTCGCCCACACTCCGTAACCTTTAATCATTACTAGTTTGTAAACTCAGCGTCTTATAAACCCTCTTATGTGGTGCGCTCGGGCAACGGTCATGCTCTAAGAAATACTGTGATGATGGAAAAATAAGAAATACCTAAACGAACTTTCTAAGTACAACCCCTTAGAATATATCCACTACTTTTATCTGGTATTGAAATTCGGTTATACAAATCATCTTACCAAGATGGGTCCATGGTCTTGAGGTACATTCATAGACAAAAGAAGCTGAACTAAGGTCACACCCACAAAAGACTTTCCAGTTCCTGGCGGTCCCTGTGAACATTGCGTGACGATGTCAATCATTTCAGTTTAATTTGTATCATCTTAAAGGAGCTGTGTCACGAAATTTATCAAAATTCAAAGAGTGGGAGCTGCCACAATGGAACAATGGAAATAACCACTCAACCCAATAATACAAAGGGAGGCAGGGATGGACAGACTTGAAGAAGACTGAAAAGAAGTCAATTGTGGTTTTTGAATACTCGTTGGCTTAAACGTTTTTCAAAGTTCATTTTTGTTCTTTGAAACGTTTAAAAAAATTCATTGGAGACATATTTGACAAGAAACTGTGATTTTGGCACAAAGTCCACCGTAACTAGGACCATACGCTACAAACACCGCGAGGACAATGAAAATATTGCTGAAAAACTGACTTCAATTTCACGTTCATTCACTTTTCTTCTTCGCCCTTTCAAATAAGTCCTTTCAATCAAAATAAGCCTCCCGGGGTGTTCGGAAGACAACGCTGCGATTGTGAAGATGAATGGAGGACCAATTTCTTTCAGATGAGTATGGGACATTGCTTGCGCGCGTCTAAGGCACGCAAGGGTCCTCCACTACTACAAACTTTAAAATAAAATACTGAATTCACAAGTACCTGGATCAAAATCACTCTATGTTTTAGAGCCATCGCAATTGCGGTCAGCTGAGTTTCATCAGGCTTGGCCTCGCTAGAACTTATATTCAGCCGCAGATCTTCAAAATCCTTAGTGAGGCTGTAATTTGAAGGAGACACATCTTCGCGACTAAACTTTGCGAGTGCTTCCTTTTTGTAGATAATTTCCCAGTTTGGAGGATGTTTAATTTTGCCGATGTACTCTGGAGGGTCCACTTGCTGTCTTGAGTCTGGATAAACCAGGAATTCCTTAAATGGAACATGGTCTGAAAAAAAAAAAAAGGAAATTCGTTGGTTTTTTCAGGATGATTGATTTATGAACCTTTCAAAATGTGCTTAAATAAGAGCAACTTCAATTAACAGACGATAGAAGCGAAAAGCAGAGCAAATCACTCGCAAACTGGGAGCACAATTAAGCATCAAAGTTGAAACGGCTTGACTCCCTAAAATCAAGCTGAGCTACTTACAGCTCGAGAGAATTTCTCTACCATCACAAATGGGATCATTACGCCAGTAAACCAGTAATATTTCTTTTTTCTTCTCGTTCTTTTTTTTAAAGTTCGATCTACTCTTATCAAAAAACCTCTTCAAAGTATCATAACTTTTTCATGAGCTTACCGGTCCAACAAGTAATAGGTCTGAGAATGATCAAAAAGCGTGTCGTATCAAAGTTACGATGAACCTTTGAGAACCCTCTGCATTTTTAAAACATCTGGCTGCAAATCACGTGAGCAAGTCACAATAAGTCTTGGTTTCATTTCAGATTGCATTTGGTTGGAAACGAAAGGCGCAAGATTTTTTTTGCAACCAATCATAAGGGCAGCAGAGGAAAGAAAGCAATGGCAAGGTCACATGACATCGAACAATAAAACTGTTTCCCGCCAAAAATCTCTGGGCGGGTACCACGGTAACTGTAACATCTATGACGTCAAAGGGTACCGAAGAAATGTCACCCGCGAATATTGGACGCTTTGAGATTTACTCTCATAAATTTGTCGACAAAAGTTTCTTTCTTGGGCTATATTTTACAAAACACTCAATGACTGGTCTCAAGGGAAACAGTTCACTTTGTTTCCCGCGAATTTCAGTGTATCCTTATGCGGACGGCTTATTATTGATACATTATGTTGCTAACTGTAAGTTGTAATACCTCTGTGTTGGAGAATTTCCATGGCTGGAGCATATGAGACATAAAAGGTTTGACTTTCAGCCATGAATGCTCTGATTTCTAGAACGTAAACACACATGTCAAAAGTTAAATGATTTCTGTTGAATATTTGACAGAGAGAGGAAAACTGACGTAGGTTGAGAAGAATACCCTATGAAAAGACAAGAAACGTCAAACAACCCCACGTGGCATAAGTTAGGCTAATTGGTGACTAGAAAAAGATTTCACTTCCACGTTTATTAACGTCCTTGTTTTTCAAAAAAACTTTCTCTATTCACAGGTGTACAATCGACGTCATAAACATAACCTTACTTTTGTTCTTAAGTTCCTGCATCTTTGCAATAAACTGTGGCTCGGACATTGTATTTCCCTTTTCGCAAAGGGTTATTCCTACAAGCCTGAAATAAATGACAGAAATTCATTAGACTCGCAAAGTGAAAGGCATGCACTCATTGCCTCTGAGAAACATTCAAATGCTTTATTCATTTTTTCTCTGAAATAAACGGTATTCGGCAGCGGGAACCTCGCATGTTAGTTAGATTTAATATATTTTCACCACTACGTAGTTCATCACCCTTTTTCCGTGGGGCTGGTCAAGTGTGTAGGACATTTGGTCAGCTTTGCTAGATGTCTGGTGAACTTAAGGTGATGTTACACGGTACGATTCGCAACGACCATTTTAAGTGACAATATTACAACATTGATGCGACATTGTTTTGAATGGTTGCAACATTTTTGCAACATTGCAACGCCTGCCTTTAAACTAAAGAGAATTCGGTCTGACGAATCGCCACACCAATTGCTGCAATTTAGTTTCTGAAAATCATTAAAATTCTATAAATTATCGATTCACGAACCTTTCAGCTAGTAAAGTCCTTTTGCTAATTCTCGCCTAAGTTTGGTGAAAACAATAATCAAAGTTGGGCGAATTTTCCACTATCAATCATTTTCGCACATGACCGTATATTCACAGGAAAAACTAACAGATTCCCCTTTTTGGATATTTTAGGGTATTTAAAGAATACCCATAAAAATCCCAAATTTGGCAAAGTAAGACAAGCCCCAACCAGGGAATTCCCAACCAAGTTGCCCGATTGGGACTTGTCTCACTCTTCCAAATTTGGGATTTTTGTGGGTATTCTTTAAATACCCTAAAATATCCAAAAATGGGAATCTGTTGTTTTTTCCTGTGATTCCAACCTTAACACAGGAAAACGAGGTACCCCGGCGCGAACAACTTTGTACAGGCTAAATACTATGCCGTAAACAAACCACTGACCACTAGCAGGGTAGAAAGAGATATTCCCCTTTTTAAAATCTATTCTTTCTTTCTGTTTTTGTGTGTTATTGTTGTTATTATATATCCACTCCTTACTTTATTATAAAATAATTGATTGACCTCGCAAAGCACATGAGGGGTTAAAAGATACAATTATTGTTTCTAAAAAAAATTCTCCACGATTAGTAACAAACCTCTCATCAGCAAAGTGTTTTTCTACCACGGCCCAAACAGGTTCTTCAAAAAAGCCATCCAATGAAATACACAAGAGACTGCCATGCATAAGCCATTCTACGTTCCTAAGTAGATAACAAAAAACGCGAGATCGAAAAATTGCTGCACCATGACGGGGTATGGAGATGTCCAATAATAGGTGTTGTGCGGAAAGGTATACATACAGGGCGAACAGAGAATCAAGAGAGATAAAGGGCCGCGCTCACAACTTTCGAGGTGACGGTGCGCCGGCGATAAAGGGTTGTTTTGGATTGCCGAGGATGTATTCTGAACTTAAACCTATAAAATATTGCTGAAGCTTACATAATACAAAGCATTGTTTACCGATAATTTGGAAAAAAATAGTTATATATTTTGTTTTAATCAACTTACTCGCTCTCACGACCTTCTTTTGAATCTGGCAATTCATACTCCAGAGTAATTAGCATAACAGTTGGAGAATTTTCATGGCGGGTAGAACATCCTCGAAGAGAAACCCTGAAAGAGAGGTAATGAAGTTAACATCCACTGCATTTGATCCTCAAACATAGAGAGGCGAAGTCAAAGTCGCACTCTCTCGAGTTTTCTCTAAAATTTCAACGACGTCGCCGTTTTCACAAACCCCGCATCCTTCTCGGAAATTTACAAAACACACTTTTACATCAGATAATTTATTTCTTATTATAACAAGCCGTTGTTATCTAATGGAAACATACGACACCAAAATAGCATGTGAAGCCTTTTTTCTGGACAAGCTTTTTCAACCTTTAAATTTTCACCAATTAGTACCTATTAAATACTTACACCTGAAAATTGCATTATATTAACGTAACATTGAAAAAACAACTAAAAAATAGGAAAAAGAAAGGAAAGAGAAAACAAGAGTTAAAACCTACAAAAAAAGTTGCCGTATTAACATGTAAGTATGAGTCAAATAAGTGTGGCCAAATACTTTCCAGCCAGTGCAAACTTAATCTGTGTACGGCCACGCCTTTCTTTGCTGCTCTAGAAGCCCCTAAAGCTCAGGCTAGTTTTCAAAGTATCAAGTGCATTATATATGAAGTGATTAAGAACGGAAGTGTTTGTCTCTCTATGAGCAAATTATATTTATCTCCTGAGAAGTGCGCAATCAAACGCAAGAGTAATCAACTGAAACGATGTTTTAAATTGATGCCCTATAGATTAGTTTCAACAGAAACTGCAGCATCGTTTTATTTTGTAACGTTTTATGGTAGATTTCAAGTGTCAATTAATCACCTATGTGCAAGCTTTATAAAAACGAATGTCTCATTCGTACCTGTACATTGTCAAGTCTTTTGAGCTAGATGCTTGCCCATACTCAACGAACTCACTGATTCCTTTCCTGAGTTTGTAAAAGCATTCTTCTCGAAGAAGTCTGAAATAGGTGTTCAAGTAATCCTCCTCTGATTCATAGTTGCCCTTTTCCCGGATCACTGGCAAATCACTAGTCTTCAAGCCTACTAATAAACAAACAATATAGACCAAAGTAATCTCTCCATTCAGAGCTCAATTTAAAAAAAACGGTTACAAGTGACAGTATAATTTACAAGGGAACCTATTACTTTCAGACAACAGCTACATTCACCTAGAGGGTCCCCAGTGGGATTTGAAATTTGACTCTTTTGAAGGCAAAAATTCCGAACTACAGGTATTGAGGAAAAAGGGGGGACAAAATTGGGATTGTTATAATTGTAATGTTATATTGTGGTTAAATTAAGATCTAGGAATTGAGTAGACTTGCTAAAACGTCCGTTTTATTGTTTTCGTTTTTAGTCAGGAGAAATAACTTCATTACTCAAAAAAAGTTGACTTTGCAGGCACAAATGACATTCTAAAGCACCAAGATACACGAACACTAAGAAAATAAAAAATAAAAAAAAATAAATTTGTGATCTGCACTATCCTGAACGTCGTGAAATATACTCTGAAATGAACTCCATTGTACAGGCTATTATAATGTCACGATTAGACTATTGTAACGGTCTATTATATGGTACGCCCGCTGTTCATCTTGGTAAGCTGCAACGCCTGCAGAACGCGGCAGCTCGGCTGGTATGTACTATATCTAGGTATGATCCTATCAAACCATCCCTGATCAACCTGCACTGGCTTCCGGTTACCCACAGAAAAGAATTCAAGATAGCAATGCTCGTTCACAATGTATCTACGGCGTCACACCACAATATCTTTTAGACTTGATAAAAATCAAAGAGAGCTCGCAGTATCAGTTGAGATCAGACCGGGGCATACTCCTAATGGACAATACCTATAGAACAAAAAAGACACTAGAGGACAGGGCATTTGAAAATGCTGCGCCCAAAGTATGGAATCGACTCCCTCTAGAAATTAGACAATGTCAATCATTGACCATTTTTAAAGTTTTACTAAAGACACATCTTTTTAAATTAGCTTTTATTAGTTCTTTTATTAACTCTTATTTTACTTTTATTGTTTTCTGAAAATTGTAAATTATTATTATTATTATCATTATTTGGATTAGCCTTTATTACTTTAAGATTTTAGTGTTGTAATGCGCATTCGATCATATCTTTATCGCATGCTAGACTGCGCAATATAAGAAATAAACATTATTATTATTATTATTAACAAAGACTAATTTACAATGAACCTGGCATGAAAAAAACATTGGACCAGGTTAAAGGCAACAGTTTAAACATATATAGCCAACAAAAAATATGAAAATTTTTAAATTTTAAAGGATTATGGATTAAGTTAAGGTGAGATGAAGAGATTGAAGAGCTCCATTGGGGATCCTAAAGTGTGAGTATACTTACTGGGTCTGAATATCTCCTCTGTGACTGGTATTAAGGACAGTTCCTTCCATGGTAACTTATCAACATCTTTTTGAGCCCCAGGTACCTCTGAAGCAATTATTGAACACATCTTTGAAAGGAATGCTATGGCTGAATGTCCACACTCCTTTGCTTCACGTTCACTGGAGCTGGAGCCCTTGACTAAATTATGAGCAAGGTCTGTTGCCATGGGCAACACCTGTAAACCCGAGGCAGGAACAGCAGTGATGACATGTTCCAAGGTCTGCTGAACCATACTGTTTAAAAACATATAGAACAGCAGTTAATATAAAAGAAAAAATTATACAGTTGAAGCTGACTCCTTGCGACCTGTCTTGCAGGCGACCAGCTTTAGTTACGACCACCTCTGTCAAACCCTGTTTGAACTGTAACTTAAACTTTGTAAAGAAAAGCTCTCTTAAGCGACTGCACCCATAAGCAACCGAGGCCACTCTTGGGATAACCCAACTGGGCATTTTCTTTGTTTTTTAAGCTCTTGTAAGTGACCACTCAGAGTCTTGTTCATGTAAATCAACACTTCAATGAAACTGCACACTAGGCTAACTGAGCTCGCTGATAAAGATCTTGGGGTTATTTTAGAATAAAAAAACTGGACGTAAAGTTTAGGCGTGTCTATATTGAATATAAAGACACTCATTAAACATTAATTTCTTTTTTTCCTTTATGAATTATTAATGAGTTTCTGAAGTGTTTGTAAGCGACCACCCTCTATTGTTTTGTCATGCGCTTGCTTATGAGAGCTCATTCTCGTAAGCGAACAGCTCTAGTTACAACAACTTTTTCAAAGTTCCAAGGTAGTCGCTCATGAGAGCTTCGACTGTATTAGATATATTCTTTTTTCAGTGTTTGGATGTCCTTTACAGAAATACCAACCTTTTGCCCCTTTCACGGGAACGTTAAAGTGCATTTACGATAAATTAATATAAAATCATAAAAAAGTACCTGAGATGGCTTGTTTTCCCAGTCACTTTATTTATGTAACCAGGAACGACTGAACCAAACAGTATACTCTGCTGAAATTCCTGAACTATTGCACTCACTGTAGGTGACATAGGGACAACTGTGGAAATCTTGTTAATGATTTCAAAAATCTGAACGATCATCTTGTCTGTGTATTTCTCCTTGGAAAGATTAAGGATGTACTCCCAGGCTGCAGAGAACCTTAAAAGAGGAAAAATCAAGACTCTTTCAAACATTACAATTAAGCCATCTATTTCATAGTTTATTGAATCTTCCGTTGCACACAGTATACTAGCTGGCTACTTAGATGAATGTAATACCTCTATATACCTGGATTGAATTAAAAACAGCAGAAGCAGGCCATACAGAAGACTTAATGCCCTGCACTTACAATAACTAGCTTAGTAAATCAGTATATGGTGTATTGATAGAGCTGGTACATGGAATGACCAAACCTTTCAGATGATAAAACTCAATTCTGGTACATTATTGCATCTCTTAATATTATTTATCTTGAGGCTACACGATTAATATATTAAATCATTATTAATTTTATTGTTATTATTATTATTATTTATTTTTTTTGGACAGCCAATCCCTTTGTATCATTATCTTAGTTAATTAAGTATGCTTCAAGATATTTCTTTGTCCTCCACATGATTTACATCTATCAAAACCCTTGTTAGAGTATTAAATATATATAAATGTCACAAGAGGTACAAGTATTATGGTCACACACAGGTTGGTCCATTTGTTTAAGTTGTGGATAGGATTAATGAAATTATATTACCGGTATGTAATATAAATACCTTGTGATTTCAATCCTAGTTGCAGATGAACCACTGTCTTGTGCAAAGTTTGACAAATGCCTCAGAAATACCTCAATTTGAGTGTCACTTAATGAATAACACCTTTGCAAGATATGGGAAAAATAAAAAATAAATGGTTTAATCATTTTTTACAGCTGTATATGTTTTTGTGGACCTGATGGTGCAGAATGTTTGAGAGTATTCCTATCATGTTGATCTCATATTTTACCATCACATAAATTTATATAATCATTCACAATTTATGAACAATTAGAACTGAGCACTGTCAGTGAGCTTCCAACATAAACTGCAGCACCATTGATTTTATCTTTGATGTTAACTAGTCTTCAAGCATTTATGCTGATATGAAAAAAAGCTTAAGTTGCAAAGGCTTCTTCCCTGTGTTTTAAAATTTTCAGGGACAAGCAAAAACAGATGCCCATAAGGGTGTAGAAAGACAGGGGAGGGGGTGGGGGTGGGGGTGGGGTGTTTGATCTTGCATCTCAGCCCCTTTTTCACAAGATCAAATCCACCATCTCAAACTCCTGACATTGCTTTTTCCAATATTGTTTTCTTTCCCGATCCAGCTCCCGTGCCCAAATTTTGCCGAGTCCTGTTTTGTGGAAGCAGTCCAATGGTGTATCTTGTTGATGCTTCCTGAATCCAATACTTTTACTTTGAGTGCTCAAATTTCAGATCACAGCAGAAATACCCTTCCAGGATCTGACCCATATCTCCACTGCCATTTAAGCACCCTTGGCAGATATTACATGCAATGCTTTGTCTTATGTGAGAATTTCTGTCTATATAAGGGAAAGTTCATTTAATATGACAAGGGGGGGGATGAAGATATTGAGGGGGGGCTCCGAAAATTTTTAGACACCCGAAGGGGGGGCTCTGAAAAAATTGTTGCACTAGGAGGGGGGGCTCGAAGCTTGAAATTTTAGCAGCCCCCCTCGCTAGCGGTTCAATTTTTTAGAAGCCCCCTCCTTGGTAGTCGAAAAAATTTCAGAGCCCCCCCCCTCCTCCTTCAATTCCTTTGCTCCCCTGAAAAAAGATCGCTAGACTGTATTAAATATATTTACCGTTATTGTCTTCAATGGTTTATACTATGACAAACTTGAGATACAGTTGTGTTACAATTTTCTAAAGCATTTTTGGGATGAACAAGAGTGTAATAATTACTGAGACTACATTTGTTATATCTGTAAACCACGTGATATAGCTGAGTTGCACAGGTCATTAAATTGTTGAGTTGAAAACCATCCGATCTGTATGATGATGTCATGTGTTAGTTTTGAAGTATGCAAATTTTTGGAGCCCCCCCTCCTAGCGCAACAATTTTTTCAGAGCCCCCCCTTCGGGTGTCTAAAAATTTTCGGAGCCCCCCCTCAATATCTTCATCCCCCCCCTTGTCATATTAAATGAACTTTCCCTAATCCCGCATGCTTCAAAAATTGATTGACCTACTTCACTATCTCTGGTTCCAATGCAGTTCCCTCCTTTCTCCGACACTTTGTTACTTCTACAATGTCTCCCACAGCCAGTTTAAGATGAAATCCTTCATGACCAGTGTCATCTTCCTCACGAAGATCCACAAAAACTTCAGACAGTGAGAAACTGCCTGTTTGTCCTCTGCAGAGATCTTTCCTTTTTATCAAAACACACACCTTTGCTTTTTTACTAAATTTGCATACCACGACACCTTGAACTTTTACATTTTCCTCAAACAAATCGATTTTCTGCAGTCTAACTGTTTGCTCAAGATCAAAATCAGAAAAACTTCCCTCAGTCTCTGATAATTCTGCAAACTGTTTGAGTTCATCAAAGAACTGGTTGAAGTGCGAATTGTCTGTTAGGCGAAAGTCTTCATATTTTTTTTTATCAATAAACGTTTTGACCAATTTGTGGCGGAATTTATATGTTGTGTGATGTGGCTCCAGTTTGTAGTCATCTGTAAATCCTACTGGAACCCTCACATCTGTCAAAAAGTCCTGGAAATTTTTCTCCAAAGTGCCAGAAAGAAAAGGATTGTTGCAAATACCCAATTCTTTCAAATATTTCACGAGGTTCTTGACCTCTTCTGGAGCCATTTCACAAGCTGTTCTCAGCTAGTATAATTACAAAACAATAAATTTCATAACCTTAAATGAAACTTTTGATTGGGGAGGGGTGGGTGATATTCCATAAATGTAACACTAACATTATCGTTGATGTACTAGATTTCTCGAAGTTGAAATTCTCAAATTGTTAAAACTTATCGTTCCTCTAAATCTGTATCATTTTTAAAAATATAACTAACAGTCACACAAAGCAAGTGCAAAATACTTCCTGCAGTTTGCCCCCGTCTCCTCTCTGGCTCGGCGCAAACAACACCATCTTTCCGAGAAAGATTAAAGCCACAAACGTCATTTCCCAGAATCGTTTAACCCACAACAACTCACTCATTCCTCCAGCAAACAAAGGAAGTCTTTCCTGTTGAAAAATCGACCAGAAAAGGTCTAAAAAAAGGCCTAAAATGGCCACAAATTTCGCAAGACGGTAAAACTACGACAAATCTGTCTCAGCATCCATTTTGAAAACAAGAAATCTCTCTCTTGCCAGGGTAGAGAAGGGAGTATTTGCCTCGTTCCAATCTTCCAAAATCAAGGTACTGGGGAAGAAGTCCTTTCGTGAAGGTATAATTATTTGTTGTTAGGTAAATAACGCCAAAACAGAGAGTCGCAACAAGTAAGCTAATTTTTACAACTAGAAAAAGGAAAGTTATTGAGGAATCAGTTCCATTTGATCTCTTTCCTCCAAAACATACTTATCTCGAGATTACGTGACTCAGAACGGGACCATGTCATGTATTGTTTTCGTTGGCAAATTGAAAAAACAAAATCTCACCAAAGGAAACCCCAAGCATTGTAAACCACGACTAGCAACCGGTTTTTGTTTTGCTTGTTTTTTTTTTTCACTTCTGTTTGCGGACAACCTCGCGAGGTATACCCATATTTTGGAAAACTTTTTCCCGGAAGTTTTCTTTCCATTCAACTTTGCTCCCAGAATGTCTAGAATTTTCGGTTGAATGGTTCGTATTTCGAAAATTTAACAGTTTCGGAATTTCTAGAAACTTTTCCGGGAAATTTCTGTTCCATTTAAAACTATTTCCAAATGTCTGAAAGTTTTGATTGAAAGATTACCGCTTCGTTGGCAATCCACTTGGAATTCTGGATTCCACGCTGTGGATTCCGAATTCCAGGTACTGGATTCCGGATTCCTTGGCGGTAGAACTTGGATTCCGAATTCCAATCGTTAGCGGGATTCCGGATTCCTTGAGCTAACTTACGGATTCCAAAGCCCAGGATTCCGGGTTCTACAAGCAATAGCCTGTTCCAGGCGTTCAGATAGTAGAGCGAGGCGTTCAGATGGTGGGTAGCGAATTAAATCGAACGCAGGGAAAACGAGGGGAATTTTTCGCCCTCGCTTTACCATCTGAACGCCTGCAGGCCAGACAAGCAAGAATTTCCCGGATTTCGGGATCCGGATTTCCTTTTCATCAAACTTTGTCTGACCATTCCGGTGGCCTAGTAAGGCAGTTTTATTAAAAATATATTAAGGGAGTGATTGTTGAAGCATTACTTGAATAGAACTAAATTGAAAAGGTAGATTGGCGACCGTAGGGAGATGGAAAACTATGGAGAGCTTAATGTTTCGAGCGCTAGCCTTTCGTCAGAGAGAATCACTCGAAACGCCCCAGAAGCCAGCTTCTCTATCTCCCTACAATTGTCAATGAAACCAAACCTTTTATTTCACTTCCTCAGCTACACAACACCACATGCATACCTCAAGGAACTAACACCTCAAGAAACTAACCTCTTCGTGCTTTAAATGGGCTGATTTATTACGTAGAGGAAGGCAAAAAGGGTGACGTTCGTGGGAAGGAACGCTTGAGGTAACCAGGAGAGCTTACGGCCCCAACCCCATTTTCGTTTGATATTGTTTGATTTTTTTGTCATAATTCCCTAAAAGTGTACCTTCAGAATAAATTTGTGGGCACAAAATGCTCATAAAGTTTTTTTTAATCAAGAAATAAGCTGGCACCATCTATGAACCTTGAGTCCCTTTTTTTTCTGAATTTTCTGGTCCCATGCCCTGGTTATGCGAAAATGTCAATAAAATATACAAAAATCACGAAGATTTGGTTAATTTTTCATTTATGACTTATTTGCTTCTTTATTCTCTTATCAGTCAGTCATGTCGAGCTTCTCAGGAAGAAATCAAAAACGAAGAGCTAGAGGTGATCAGAACTGGTATGACAAGTCAATGGCTACACTAACGGCAGACCAAGAAGAAGAGATTGTAGAAATTCCCAAAGAAAAGGTCGGACTTGTCATTGGGCGTAAGGGAAGAACAAAGGAAGAGATCAGAAGACAAACTGATGTCCAAATATTTATAAAAGAAGATGGTGCTCACTTGAGAGGAACAGCCGAACAAATTCACGAAGCTAAAACCATGATTGGAGAAATCTTGAATCCAGTAAGCACCCACAAGTCGAAGTTGACCAATTATGCCGGATTGAAAACAATCAATCACGTTTGTACTGGAAACTAATTTCCAATGCCTTCATTGAGTCAAGACGTCACTACAAGTCATTCAAACAGATATATTTTTCGCTCTTTATTCTAAGCTGAACCCAAGGACAAAAATATTTTAGGAAATTCATATAACCATTTAATCTCGGACTTATTCTGCTCTTTTAGCAGGGTTGCCTCAGGCTGTTTTTTTTTTCTTTTGTTGTTGTTGATGTTATTTTGTTTGTTTTTTTTTTTGTTTCAAAATATCTTTAGTTGTCTTTACCGGCCTGCAAAGCAGGCGTTTTTTGCAGTGCAAACGATAATGCTATAAATTAATTTTCTCCCACCATCTTTTGATTTAACAGATGAGTCACCGAGAAGGCAGACCAAGACGAGGAGGATTTGAAATGCTACAAAACCTAATGGTACCCCAACATTTGATTGGTCAAGTTCTGGGAAAAGGAGGCGAGAAATTGAGAGCCATCGAAACGAAAATCGGGGTTTCAATAAAAATAATCGATAACAATTTCCATATCAAAGGAGCTGATAAAAAGGAAGAGAAATTAGCCCGACGCGAAATACAAGAATCAGTGGTATGTATACGTTTTCCCCTAGTGAAGTTTTAACATCTTGTTTTACACTAAACCTCGTGCAAACGGACGCAATATTGTTGGGAGTTGTTGCTTTCGTTAGCACATAGCTAAAAATTTGAACCGTTTAAACTTTGCGCAATATCTCCCAACAGCATGAAACAGGGTGTGGAAACGGACGCAACATGTAACATCAATCAATGTTGGGGGTTGGTGGCCAACAATACTGCTTCCATTTGCACGGGGCTAAAAGTTTCACCGGGTCAAACTTTGCGCAACAACTCCCAACAACACGCAACAGCATGCAACAGGGTGTTCAAACGGACGCAACACCCAACGATGTTGCGTCCGTTTCCACGGGTCTTTTAAAAGGCGATGCCTTAATGAACAGTCCACTCAATGTACCCGTACATAAAGAAACCTTAACGAATGAAGTGCAGAAACCACCTTCGCATGACTTCGATTCTCACCTTTTGACTTAGGTTCAGACATCATATCAGCACTAATATATATATATATATATATATATATATATGATATCACGCAGGGAAAAGATGCCCGCCAGCGTTAATAAGCTGTGACAATGTAAAATAATTATTGTTTTGCACTCTTTTAGAACCGCGCTATGAAGTATTCACAGAGGGCCGCTCCTTTGAAGTTTGTCCATGTAGACACCGCCCAGTTAGAAGAGAATCACGAACTTCATTTGTCCGTCGCAACACATCCCATAACAAATGCAAGCTTGGGAGAATATTACTACAAGCCTATACTAAGGGGGCCTCCTTTGAAGGAGGTACGTACGTTATTTTCACTTGCATATATTTGATTAGGCCAAGGTCAAACACTGTACTTCACGTGAAACGAACCTAATGCTGATGAGCGAGAATAGATTCCGTAAATCCTCTATCTATTTACCAATCAAGGAGGAAATTGAAAGTCAGTTGGAGCCGGAGGATCGAATTCTTATACGCAGGTGTTACCGTGAACAGCACTTTAATTGCAAACGGCTATGTTTCGTCCTCTCTCTGAGATCGAACTAACGACAAAAACTAAACAAATATTTATATGGCAAATGCAAAAACAGGTGGTAAATAATTAGCAAACGCAAGCTCAAATTTAAATTCTAAGTGTAGACTAAGTAATAGTGATAAAATATTTTCTCGGACCCGCGGCAGGCTTCAGTTTGGGCTGAAAATTTAAGTTGGGGACCCAGGTCCCACGAGGGCCTTGAGTGTCTAGCAATGTCACAGCACTATTAATATAAAATTTCAGTCCTTACATTTGTACATATTGTTTGCTTTTATACATATCAACTTACAGGAAACACTCGATGGTTTTCTACACACAGACAGATTAAAGGAAAAAATTGTTAAAGTTTTAAAGCAAATTCATCAAGAGAAGGCCCAAGAGGAAGTCCGTGTCGACATGTGGTGTCATTTTGGCCGTGCTTACATCACTAAGGTTGATGAAGGTAGGGATCTTAATAGAGTTTCTCAAACATATTATTACGCCACAAGGCGTACCATGTATGAATGTATGTGAAGTCAGGACCTTAGATTGTTCAATAACATAATAGAAAAAGACAATTTAACTGCAGCCTAAAAGCCATGCCTTTGAAACCGCAAATAAAGTTTATGTCTCTCTGTCTAAACGGGAAAGGTGAACAATTACTACTTCTGGTTTAAGGCTGCAAGGATAGGTAGGCTTAAAAGTTTGCACCTAATAAAGGAAGGGCATTCGCAACCTCTAGCGTGAAGAAAAAAAATGAAAAATGGGCTAAATCGGTTTAAACTTGTTAGTATTAATAAAAAATAACAACCTATTTACTCTTGACATTACACACTTATGATGATAATGAAAAGGACCAGTCTTAGCAAACGTATAGGCGGATGACAAGCGAGGAAAAACACATCTCAGTAAGACACGACTGATTCTGGTTTACTTTTGATTGGAAAAAAATGGTGCGAGTTTTTCAGCCAATCACAAACCGTACCAACTCATAACCAAATAAATTTAAAAAAGCAACTGTCGACTCATGGTTTGAAAACAGCTTCAAGATGCTTTGAGTGGAACACCAGCAGAGTTATTTGTTCCAAATAAACACATACCCGAGTATAGTCTCCCTCGCAGCCGTTTTTAGTATCGTCACGCAACGCTCCTCCGTTGCGTGACGATACTAAAAACGGCTGCGAGGGAGACTAACCCGAGTATAGCTGCTCTTGATAATCTTATTGGCTATCTCATTGCCTTTCGCTTTTTTCGGCTTTTAGTTCTCTAAAAAAGAAAAGCGGAGGTCTTTGGTAAGTTTTACTTTTAACCAAGCAAAATAGACAATACTTTTAAAATCACAATTTGCTTTTTTTGCAGACGAATTAGAGGACACGTTTACGCTGGAAGAATTCAAAGAAAAACTAGAGGACGGGAAAAACAAAAGCTGGAAGTCATTTTTCGTAGAGGGTGTAGAAGACATGGAAGTTTTGGATATTGAGCAGAGTCTCCCATCCAAAGCGGCAAAAGAGGACATTAGACATGACCTCACTTTCTACACCCCAACCTGCAGGGATGTTCGTGTGAAGGTACTGGTTGCCCCTGAGTGGTGGGATTGCAATTAGGAAAGGCCGCGTATGGTAGTGTAACATCTACAACCAGCCAGACTTCTATTCAACGGAGGTTTCGTGCGCATAAATAACGTTCCAGGACTCTAACTAAGAGGGTTCTTTTAGGATAAAACAGGCTTTCAAAACACCCAGGTCTAGCCCTTCTAAGAAGCTTTCTACATTCTCCCATGTAGTTTTTCTTACACGATGGCTGATTCTGACTTAAAACTTTAATAAACTGTGTTAAAGCCTTCTTCCTGGAGTATTGCGGTTCGCCCTTCTTCTCTTACATCTCTTGATTTGCTTCCCATTAATAAAATGTTCCTTTGTTGTTTGTATGAATAGGTGTGGCTCATAGAACCGGAAGGAGAAGAGGCTGGGGAAGCAGCATCATCCATGGCATTTTCACGCAGGACACCCATTACTGTAAAGAACATTCTAACACGTGTGATGTCTGATGAACAAGGAGACACTTCGGAAACGCCCTGTTTTCACATCTGCTCTCAGTTTCAAAGCCGATTGAGAGCGGATATTTTGATACCTTCTCAGGACCTCGATTGCCGTTTGTCCATTAGAACATGTAAGACTTTCGAAATAGATACCAGTGAAAATTGTTGACCCGTGTTTCTGTCATTCTTTATTTGACTCCCTTTTATAATTTCGCTTTATTTGAAAATCCCTGCACTTAAAAGTCTGCGATTGTTTGTGGTTCCTCTCAAACCGCTTGATCTTGAATGAAGGCTAATCTTAAAAACTCTTAACTCCTTATTTGACTTATTTGATTGGTTTACTAATTATTAAGAGAGGATGACCTGTCACAAAAAGAAAGCTGTTTGAATTAGTAAGGGGTTATGACAAGGTTACGCATAAGGCTCTTGCTGGTAACTAGTGCAAGTATAATCTTCTTTGGAGGTCAGAGTTTAATCGGGTAATATTTAAAAGCACCCTGTAACGTTCTTTTCGGGGCCCATTACTCCTACGGTAATGTTTAGGAAGGAAAGGGATTGGGCGTCTTTTGTTTGATTACAGTAATTTTTAAATATATGGAATGAATCATATTTTGAACTGCGGGTAAAGATATGAAAGTGAACATGATCTTCGTAGTAGAATGAACAATCTAAGGAGTTGAAAAAGAACCTGAAAAATTCAGGTTTGATTGACCGAGCGTTGCGTCCGGTTATCGCAAAGGCCAGGATTCGGTTCCCGGTCAATCCTGAATTTTTTCAGGTTCTTTTTCAATCGCTTTGGTTGCTCTTTCTACTGCGAAGATCATGTCCACTTTCATACACTGAGTAATCTTGTTTGACTTTATGCGTCGGGCTCAGATAATTTCAAATAGCAGAAGACATATTAATCGATTACGGCTACCAAAGAAGACAAAGGAATTGTGCTTAGAAGAGAGAAAGGTAGCTTTTATTTATTTCTGGACTTTGAAGCGGACAGGTAAGGATTGCTCATTTAGATCACGATCTATTGAAACCCATCGTTGAATGGCACTAAGGACTGTTAACCAGGTTAACAAGTGATAGACTGAGCAGGGCTCATTTTAGGTGCTTCATCTGGCCATGCATGTCTGAGCAACCTGTCTTTCATATAAGCGTATACTTTAACGATGCTGTTCCCGTGTGGTCGATTGTAATGATACAAAGGGTCTTACTGCGGCCTTCCTTTTTTAAGAACAATTCTTTGCTTTTTTTTTTTCAAGGCACCACTTATGTCCCAAAAACTCCACAAGACGAAGAAGAAGACAAAATTTTAGAAGCTTACCTAACGGGAATGAGGATTGAGGGTGGCCAGTTAACGCTGCCGCCGGCTTCAGAGCTGCAGGATGGGTTTGACTTGTTTTACAAGCGGCGTAGTCTGCGAAAGACTTATCAGTATGAAATGTCGGATGGAGAACAGTTCAACTTGACTGTTTGCAAAGATCAAGCAACAAACGTTTGCCCTTATGAGCCTGACGCAAGCAGCATTGACGACATTTCCCCAAAGGTTTTTCATCTGTATTTTTATAATTGTCTTGCGCAAAAATTACTATAAGCCCTTATGAGTTTCTTTTATTACGCAATGTGAGGGGCCCCAATTTGTTCACTAGCACTATTCAACTCTTTTAAAATGAGGCAGTCCCATCCCCGAACGGTGTTCAAGTCTGGTTTAATCAAGTAGTTTCCTTGAGTCAAACAGGCTTAGCAGTGAGCTTGCAAATAACCAAAGCCAGGCTGGAAGTTAGATAAAATAAGCTAACCAGGCTTGAAATCGACTGTATGAGGCTGTGCAGCATTAGTTAGTGGATGTCGGATGAATTCCCTTGGACTCTCCTTGACTCATTGGATTCGCTCTCTTTAAAGAGAATGAAGGGGACGTTTCAAAAGAAACTCTGGTCATGGACAGTTGGCCGGTGCTTCTCTCTCTCAAAAGATCTCGGTAAGGACTGGAACCGACTGGCCCTCAATCTAAAGTCGGACGATCAATTATAACGGAAATTCAGATTTATATGTGCCGTGGAGCAAATTGATCATGGACCACATCAATTTTTGTTTCATTTTGCACTGATTTATCGGTTATTTTAATTGATGGCCTTTGAAATTAATTGATGGCGCGCGTTCAGTTAGCTATACAAGAATAACAACAATGAACCTGCCTCTGTAAATTAGGTCACTGAAGCCTAAAAAAGAAGTTGATCTTAGTGAATTTTCGTCTATAGATCGTTTCTTAATCTTACCCCTTGTTCTTTTCCTGTTGTGTTTTTTCTTTTGTTAAAATCTAATCGTGGTTGCCTTATAATGCTTTTATTAATTTCCCTAAATTTCATTTACAGTAAAGTTCACGACGTTTCCCTGTATCTAATAGACCTATTCGGCTAACTCAATGTTGTACCCAATTCAAATCTCCCGGGGATAAGATTCTTTGTATATTGTATTTGCATCATGGAAATTCCTGAAACAAAACGTTTTATTCCCGAAGGATTTGAATTGGGTACAACATTGAGTTAGCCTAATAGGTCTATTCAAATAGACACTTAATGTGCTATTATATTCTTATTCTACCAAAATTTTTTTCAACATTTAATTTTAGGCTGACATTCACCTGCATTGTGACGAATGGGATCGTCTCCTTGATGAGGGAAACTGGGAACCAGAACAGATTGCCGACAAGCTACCCGCCTTTCTGGAGTTTTTGAGACAAGTCCAGAGCAGTGTAGTTGTCCGTCACCGCTGATATACATTTGAGAAAAAAGATTGTGAATCAGCTGAACAATTTCAGTGATAAATTTAGCACATATCCAATAATGGTATGGTAGTTGATAACCCAGGATTTTACTCATAACACATATGATACGCATTGTGGTCTACCAAGACGCCGTAATACATGCACAGTACTCGTTTTTGGAACCATAGTAATAAATTGTACGTTTGTCTTTGTTATTTTCAGTCTCAAACAGTTCCCGGTTAATGTTTTTCCCCTACAAAGAAAGTTTGATAGGCAAATTTTTCATTCTTAAAAGATTAACTGAATCATGTGTTGCTATTTAGACTTTTTAATAAGGCAACAAACATGTTACTAAGTTACTAAAACAAACTCGGCTGCTTTGTACTACATGGCGCACCAAAACCTTCCAGTTTAACACTGATACTGAATAATCTACTAAACAATTAAGGTTAAACGCCCGATGGAGTAAACCTTTTGATTTAATACGTATTGTTGAAGGAGGTGGGGTGGGGGAGGGAGTTCAAATTGTTGAACACATGAAATTCAGTTAGATAGTTTATTTTTAAAGGAGAATTAAAAAGTAGTAAAACATTTTGTATTCGTAATCGTGCACGAGGCAATGAAATGGTGTCACATAATGTGCGTTTACCAAATGTAATTCTTGACCAAGAATACAGTCCTTATCATGGAAATATATTCAGTAGCTGTCAGATTAGTCTTTTGTTTGTTAGTGCGGCATCACGTTCAACCATATTGCCCTTACCACTAACTCTGGTTCCACAAACACATACTTATATATCAAAGGATGATTTGTTTCAGCGAGTCGAGAAATTAAACTGCATGAAAAATACGCAAATGCTCTTTTATTTCTGACTCTGATTACAACTACCCTTAGCTACTTGTAGTATAAAACCCTTTATATCCCTATAAGTCTTCTTTGGTAAACATACCAGTACCCTAAGGGCAGATAGTAAATACTACCACTCAGAGCCAATACCACTAAAGACATACTCTTTGTTCTACTTTAAATGATGTTTTTACCAAGCTTTGCCCTTTTATTGTAATCATCCCTGTTTTGTTGCTACCATCAGTTGCAAAATCACATCTTTCCTAAATTTAGCTCAAATCCCACAGTATCCTTTTTCATGGCGCCCATAGGACCTCCTTCTACAGAAAATAATACGACGTTTGTTAGTGTGGTGGTAGCATATACTTCTTTAAACTTTTCCTCTCTCACAATCCTTAAGGATTTCTGGGTCAGTTGATAATGAAGTTGATAATGAAGTGTCCGCATTAGCGAGGTTAACTTTTTATGAGAAACTGTTCATTGGGCAAGAAACAAGTGTCCATTATTATTATTATTATTATTATTATTATTATGGACTTTCCCCAGGCGCAAGGAAAACTGTCCCTAATAACAAGGTGTCCGTAAAGCGGGGTCCTACTGTAGTATGGCAAATTTAAGGGCGGAGAAGATAAGCTACCGCACCCAAATTTTTTAAACCACTAAAGTGATCTTAACCGTTGAAGAGTGCGTACTGCGCCGTCATTCGCTGTAAAATCTTGATTGTTGAAGAGGCTAGTTCCTAGAGAAACTGTGTTTTTCCCGTGGATTGGGGAAAGAGTTACAAAGACTTGAATTCATCGTAGAGGGATTCGATGAAAAACTGACGTTTCGAGTGTTGGCTCCTCTACGATTGATGGTTTTTCGACTTAATTGTGCTTAATATTTTTCATTGGAATCATCATCTTTATTCAGTGTAATCACAAATAGCAGTGCCTAATTAAAAGAGTTTTGATCGTGAATTAGTAATTGGTATTTCAAATTCCAGATTTTTTTATTTATTGTATCAGTTTACTATTATTGTTATTATTTTCAAGTCAGCAATACAACACTCTTAAAGTTTGGTTGTTTACAGTTTTTATTGAAACGCAACAATACAAAGGTCTTGGAAAAATAATTCTATAAAATTCATAGTTGGACTAGTCTTCATCTTGTGGAATGGGCTGCTGTTGATACAGTCGATTGAGTAAGAATTTTCGCTTATCGATCGCTAGTTCTGTCGATTCCAACCAATCGAATCCTTCTGTATCTTTTAGTTCTTTTTGGGTTTCAATCACTTTTTTGAAGGTGGGATCTTTTTTCATTGCATGCATCCACTGTAGATTCTCTAAGAGTACTTTTCTTAGCTCTTTTCTGTAAACAGGAAGAAGAGCGTTCTCGGCTTTCACGCGGGCCACATTTTCTGAATCTCCGTTCCCTTCGTACTCATTAATCAATGTGTTGAGCTGGGTCTCATGGCGTTTCTCGGCTTCATCAAGAATGCGTAACCAAGGCGTTTACTTTTCTCTTTCTTCTTGGGAAGACTCCGCTTCTTGGCTAGAGACTTCGCTTTCTTGGGAGAAATCGCTTTCTTCGCTGTCTTCATATTTTCCAGCTCCTTGTTGAGGGTATAAGGTATAGCCTGTGCTCGTCATCTTTGGTTTGAACCGCACGCGTTCTGATACGAAACTAAACTTCAGAAAGCAACGCGTCTCTTTTATAGAAAAATGGGTGAAGGCGGGGTTTGGCTAACTTTTTTAATTAGGCACTGTTATTTGTGATTACACTGAATAAAGTAGACTTCCAAAAAAGTCGAGAGCTGTTGCGTGACTAGCGACGCGGGACGCCCACGCGTGTGTTTGAGAAAAATAAAGACACATGACTAGAAATGGCCCTTTTGTCTCCTTTTGTCCCTTTTGGCCTGGTTTTGGCCTTTCAGCCCTGGTTATGGCCTTTCTGGCCTGTGTTTGGCGTTTCTGACACTCTATATAACCTGACTATTTGCGAAAAAGATGTCATTTGTGTTCATCCATCGAACTGTCAGCATGGTTTACAAGAGAGTTTGCAGAAACTGTCCTATTTCATCTTGTGGGGCGAAGTACCTTGTCAGATTAGCTAACCATCTCGGGGATGTTTATCAGTTAGACCACATACAGCGAAGACAGTATTTACAAGAGGCGAAACTGCAACCTAAAGTTAAAGTCGTCGTTTACGAAAGTGAAGCGGATAATCCCGGAAAAAATCATTATCACAATCCAATACAGACACAAGAAACGGTGTACTGTGAACTGTCAAGATCACAGAGAAATGAAGTCTCTTTTACTAGTAAATCAAAAGCTAAAAGACCGACTACAAAGAACAAGACAAAGTGCAAGAAACAAAGAAAGTCGAACTCTTGTCTTAGAGGCCATAGGAAAACTGTGTAGACAAGGAAGGATTATTTATTGTTCCTCGCAATGAAACGGAAAAAACTGATTTGTAATAGTCAGTCAATGGATTAATTTTCGTTCCTTTTCCTTTCAAATCGCTGTGTATTTGACTCTTTTTGTTACTGACTTTTAATAAAGTTTTTAAAACGGTATCTCTCTTGTGGTTTTATTGCTAGCAATTATTAGTCGCGTGTTCCAATTGATCCTTGTTAAGTCATTTAAAATTGTGGATATAATAATACGTCAAGGTGCTCCCTTGGGTCTAGCTGTACAGATGAACTAATTTGTATTCAACTTTGGGCTTGTGAACTCGCATAATTAACTGATTATTAAACCGTGCGTGAAACGCTGAGACTTGAATAGTTTTTCATTTCCTCGAGATAGATAGGAGAAAACAGTTTTGTAATAGTGAGACAAAATTGAAATAGAGTGTTCAGCTTCACTTTGTGTATATGTGTTTTGTTTACATATATCCGAGTTTTGGAGCTAAGTAAGAAGACATAAACTAAATTGAAAGAAAGACTTTTCAACTCCACTTTGTGTATGTGTTTTGTTTATATATCTGATTTTAAGCGCTAAATAAGATATAGGAAGCCGCTTCTGGCTCGCTTCTCTTATTCCTATTTCTCTTTTAACAGACGGTCTGAAAACCGAGCTCAAGTTACTTACCGGGCAAGTCTAGGCAAGCCTATTGTTCCTATTGTAGTAGAGTGACGCTCATTAGTAAACCTATCCACTTCATTATATATGGAGGAAGACACTTAATTAGTATGCAGGAAATCCAAATTAGTATGCGGGAAGGCAGTGAGCAGGCTTTTATGCCGTTCGAACAATAAAAAATACGGCAACCAACCAAAATGCTTCGTCAAACGAGACAGCCAATCAGCGTCTTTCTAATTTCGGTCAACCAATCAAAACAACTATGACATCATAGTACCCCGGAATACATATAAAATAATCTTCCGAAAATAACTAAAACCTGTCAAACCGGTTATACCAACCATGACATCATCCATCTAAAAATAGCACATGACCTTATCTTTATGAGATACCACAGCATTTTATTCATGAGATCAAGACAAAAGGCTATGACGTCATTGGCGTTAATTTATTCCTGCCCAAGTTAGAGCGGTTTTCACTTGACTGTCGTAAAACCAAAACCAAAGTAAATACACTAGCTCACCAAAGGGCGTAGTAAAACCAAAACCAAAACCAAAACCAATCCCTTTCGACAGTCAAGTGAAAACCGCTCTAATGAATTCCCGCCCAAAAAACCGGAGTAAAACATCCCTACCACACTACTCACGACCACCTGAAGATCGCAAATATTAATCCCCAGGAAGAAGCCACACTTTCGCTATGCAAAAAATTAGTTCCCCGAGAGAGTGGCGGAAATGGAGCCTAGGTCTTGGTCAACACCTAAAAGGCGCTTCGCCTAACGTGCGTACGGAGTCAACCTCGTCCCCAGGGCTTTTCCCTTAAAAAATGGGTGGGGCGGGAAAAGGCCCTGGCATCGGCTGGTCACGTGCACAGCGTAAATATTCCTGAAAAGCTAATTTATATGCAACCCGCTGGTTTTGCGCTGACAGAAGTCGATAACAATGGAAAATACTAACATCGCGAACTATGTCAATATTTTCGCGTGTGTGCGATTCAAAAGCTTAAAATCCATTTAATTGCGCATTATTCAAATGCTGCAAGTTTATGAAAAGGCATACCGGCTCTACTTTGTCACGTAAAAAATATGTCAAATGCTTCAGAGTTGAGACAAGCTGTTATCGACTAGTACTTTGACTGAACTTCAACGTGATTTTGGAATTACTGTACGATCAAGAGGGAAGTGATTTTGTCCAATGTCAAACAAAAATACGGGCCTTTGCCTCCAGGATTGAACTTGACCGAAATAGAATTGTTCGTCAAAATACTTTATGGAGTCTGGTCTTCTCTACAACTCGACCATGAAACAAACAAATCTCCGCACCGGATGCAAGTCAGCCCTCCAGCCAGGAACGATGACAGGTCGCCTTTCTGAAACATTTGAAGACCATTTGATAAGTACAAAGGATTTTCCTTGTATCAAAGGAAAGATTGACTGATCGATTGGAATCAACTACAGCTCTGTCAGTTTTAAATGGACCCAAGTCTTTCTTTGTTGCCAGTCGTTTGATCGCAGAGGTCAATGAATTTTTTAAAAATACAGGTCATACAGGCTAAGTCTAAACCAACGCGTGT